GTGCTCATTTGAATAATGTTCTTACACAGCTCCTCTTGTGGGAGGTTGGGTTGTTACTTGGTAATGGAGTGCATGGTTAGTGTGGGTTGTTTTCCGGTAGACTTGGGTTTCTAATTTGCTGTTGTTTCCTCTCCTGATGAGGATATCCAGGAACGGTAGCGTGCTGTTGTTTTCTTCCTCTCTGGTGAATTCTTTTCCTTTGAAGATGTTGCTGATAGTTTCTTGTGTCTTCTGTAGTTGTTCCTTTTTTATTATAATGAAGGTGTCATCTACATACCGGATCCATACTTTTGGTTGTATGCATAGAAGTGCTATAGTTTCTAGGCGTAGTGTTACAATCTCTGCTATGAGTCCTGACAGTGGTGATCCCATGGGTGTGCCTCTGATTTGTTGGTATATTTGTCCATCAGACTGCAAATAGGTGAGGCAGAGGTTGATGAAATCCATGATTCTGGGTGTTTCAATCCTGGTGCATTTGGTTAGGTCAGGTGTGTTGTGTAGTACTGCTGATATGGATTCTTTCGCTAATTCTGTGTTTATGGATGTAGAGAGTGCCATGACATCAAATGAGACCATAATTTCATCTTCATCTATGTGTACATCTTTGATTTTCTGGAGGCACTGTAGTGAGGAGTTGATAGGATATTCGCTCCTCTCTGAGATGTCTAAGTTTTGTGTCAGTTCTTTCGCTATGTTGTATGTTGGAGTCCCTGTTGTATGTTGGACTAATCAAGGAACTACCGGGGGGTGGGGGGGGTGCGGACAACACAGGCAGGGCAAGCCACTGTATATAAACAGAGAGCAGACTCCATTCTAGCACTGAAGATGTTACCTAGTTGGGTAACAAAACGTTTGCAAGAAAACAACCAACCTCAGAGAAGCCCAAGGACTCCATAGGCCACCTCATACTTCCACTTCCATGCATCGGATGGTCAATGTCTGGAAATCTCTTTTCTTTTTTTCTGCTTCAAATCCATTTTTGGTAATAATGATAATGTAAAATGAAATGATTTTATTTTTCTTGGTTTTTTTTTTTAATATGGATCCACTAAGGTAAGTGTAGCTAGAAATGCTGAGACAAAACATTACCTGCCCTTCTTCTAAACCGCATAACTTGTCTTTCTTGCCCCTGGATTTAGCATTTATTATGCAGTTTGCCATTTCTTGCGAGGGAGGGTTTTCGCAGGTTGAGGGTTTCTTATGATTCCATAGCAACTCATTTCTTTCATCATCTTTTCTTTTGACAGAACTACAGTATTGTATGAACTATACATATGTCAGTATTGTTCATATGTTACCAGTAGATTACTATTATTTTGGTGAATGATCTGGGGTTATATTGCAATAAAGTCAACTGTAATATACCACAAATTCATTACATAAGGTCAGCATTTGGACAATGGGCTCTTTTGCTTAATGAGATGATGGGATGGACTAATATCTGGCAAGGAAGAAAAACTGTGACAATACTGCATCTTACAGCTAATTCTGGATAACTAATTAAATCCGTGAATAAGTAGAGATTTAATCCCATGTTTTATTGCCCTTTGTTTTTGCTTAGTGTAAAATTTCTGATTGTGCTCCAAAATGCACTTTTTTTCTGTATGCCACCTAAAGTTGCTTAGCGATTAGGTGTTTACTTGTTATTTAACAAATAAAGTTAAATAAATAAACAAGCTGAAGGTTATGTGTGGAAATTAGGCGCTTAACTTGCCTGCTTAGCTTGGTAAAAAAATTGTCAATATTTGTCCTCTTTTCTACTTTATATTAGGAATGGGTGACTTTCTGTCCATATGTGTTTCATATACAGTATGTTTTCAGTCATAGGTTGATCCTATCTAATTTCCATCCATTTGTTTTTAAATTTTGTAGATAATAGTTCCCAAGATACTCATTTTATGCAGACTTTCTTAATATGAATAATGTTATAAGTAACTAGCTATTAAATATAGAATACAGATGCTTGGGTAGAATTTTTAATTAAGAACTGTTTGAAGACATGCACAAACTAAAGGATAATGGTTTTCCCATTATCAAAAAAGTATAAGTAGGATTACTGAAATGAAATTCATTCATTGCTGTAGAGCAATAGAGAGCTCTTCATCCCACTTTGTAACATAGAGGTGGTCCTCGGCTTACATCCATTTGTTCAGCGACTGTTGAAAGTTACGGCGGCGCTGAAAAGATATATGACTGGCCCCCGAAGTTTTGGCCATCACAGTACCCCCGCGGTCACATGATCACGATCCATGGGCTTCGGTGCCCATTTCATAATTATGTTGCAAGGAGATGCGGTCATGTGATTGCCATTTGTGACCTTCCCTGCCAGCTTCCCACAAACAAAGTCAACTGGGTTGTAAGTCACTCCAGTAAGTCACTCCCGCACACAGCGCATGCCCCTGCCCATGTACAGCCTCCACTGGCCCTCCCTGGCCTTCCTTGACTCCTGCAGCCTGTGCTGGGCCTCCCAAGCCCTCTCTGGCCTCTCCCACCCCTGTGGGACCCCCACACTCCGTACCTGGGACTCCCACCACTTCCCGCTTACCAACCCACACGTCTTAGGGTTACAATGGCAACTGGGACTGTCAGGATTGCCATTGCTAAGCGATGCAGTCATGTGATGCCGCACTTTAGGACCGCATCACTTAGCAATGGCAATCCCAGTCCCAGTTGCCGTTGTAACCCAAGGAGTACCTGTATCATTGTGTTACATACATTTGTGGATGTGTACATAGATATTCCAAGAAATGGAAGTCAACACTTTTAAAATATAAGGGTAATGCTTCTGTAATACATCAAATGTTGCTAAAATGGCAGTCATATGTATGTGCTACATTTTTTGGTTCCCCTTGCAGATTTGATCAGCAATCCAATTTTGGCAACTTTTCCTAAACTCATGGAACAGCCTGATATTATGGATGCACTCAGGGTGGGTAAAATGTATTGCATTGCTAATATGAAAGTAGAGTCCAAATTAAAAGTCAGCATGACAGGTTTCGGTTCCTTTACGTATTTTCATCAACAATTATTCTAAGAAGCTACTCCTATGATATTAAGTTTCGAGAAATATTATGGAAGTAAAGTAAATAGAAGTTGAAGCAAAGTGCCCCAAGTATTTAGAAAGGCTTAGGAGGGGTTGGAATTCAGTGACAGGGTGTGGCTTGTTCAAATGAAAGCTCTGAAACTTTTAAATTTCTAGCAGTTCATTATAGCGGGAATGATTTCTGGTAACTTCTCCAGTGACCTAAATTGAATATAAATATTTAATCCAGTGAGAAAAACCTAGAAAATCTGCATCTGCCTAGCTGGAGAAGAGTGAGGAGAGTAGATTAAGGGGGTATATTTGATAGTGCTCAAATATCTGAAAGAGTGGGCTAGATGTGAGAATAACAATAAATAACAATTTATTAAATTTATATCCGCCTGACTTTGAGCAACTCAATTAGATTCAAAGTGGTACTTTCATTAATGAAAAGAAATGAAGTCTAAGGAGATTACCACTAAAATAGAAATGGATTTTTCTGTTTTTGGGAGGATGCCCCAGTCCTGTAGTACAGTTTTTCAGGAGAGAGAGAGGAATTGGTAGAAATCACTTTCTCGTTGCTTCCAGCCAGTGTATGCAACAGATGTGTCCCATTGATGGAATTTTACTGATGAGAACTATAAACCTAACTCCTTTTGAAAAGGGAAATACCAGTGGATTTAGGGTTCAAACTGTAGTTTGAATATACAAACACTTTGAAAACTTAACCTTCTATAAAGTTTTGAAATTTATTATTTTTAGAGTTCTTGGGCAGAGAAAGAAAGTACACTGAAGAGATCAGAAAAGGTAAGAAAGTGAGGCAGCTTTTTCAATATCAAGATAATACTTTAAACCTAATTATAGTGAAATTGTGGTCTCTCATTGGGCAGAAAACTTCCAGCTGGAGAAGACTGCAGCTTCACAGTCTTGTGCTAATCTGGGGTACCCAGCCGTCTTCCTCACAAACCACAGCTGCTCTGGTTGGAGGAGTACTACAGAAAGTGTGCATTAGGTGCATGGGGTCTTCACAAGTCCCTAGTTCATGCTGGTCCAGCAAATCTTCATATCTACGTAGCTTTGACTTTAATTGCATGCAAAGGATCTCTTTCCACAGAATATTGCAGCACGTCTTAATTGTGAATGAACACAGTAGCCAGAAAGTCAGTATGGCCATCTCATTTAGATGCTTTTATTGTAAACTCTTTAAAGTAGAATTTATTCTAAAACCCCAACCTGAGATGATGGAACTGTTGTTAATTTTTACACTGCATTTTAAAATTTCTCAGTTTCCTTCTCTCTCTCTCTTTCCTTCTTTCCTTTTCTAACTCTTTTGCGCTCTCCCTCTCTCCCTCTCTCTCATATTAAGGTTAAATATAAGGAATTTTAAAAAGTTGGTTACCTTAGGGAAGAACATAGTCCACTTGTGGGACCTGACCTACAACTTGAATCTCAGGTTATGCCTTTTTTTTTTCCAGTTGCACTTGTAATAGTAGGGCAAGGCAAGCCAGTACAAAGCGGAAGTGATACAAATGTTAAATTGATGGCTTGGTTTACTGTAATTAAGTATATGAATAAGAAGAACTTCAACCAATTTATAAGGTTATCTACTGCTATAGTTTTACTTTTATTAAATGTAGGGCAGAGCATTAGTCTGTTGTGATAAGAAGTGTTAAAAATAAAGATAAGAAATTTTTCATGTGTGTCCACTTTTTGGTAAGGCTCAGTTTCTTCCCCTTTCTCCTGCTCCTGCTCCTCCTGCTTCTCCTCCTCTCTGAATTTCAAATTTGATTTAACGTTTTGAAAGAACATAAGTGAAAAGAATATAAGTAAGAAAAATATTGATCATGTGAAAAACAGGAAATAAGGTATGGATAATGATTCCTGTTGGACTTTGAATTGAACTTACTTGGCTAGCACAGTATTAATCAATGACAAAACTATTGTGATGGAATGGAATTATGAAGGCCAGGCTCAGGGAGAGAAGCATTTTCTTAGCTCGCCGATGGAGCGTGGGAACTACAAGAGGATGAGACTGGCACCTCCCTGAGGAATTCACACTGTTGTGGCTGTCTTACATAGGGGGTTGGGTTTTCCTCTTTGAAAAATCATGTCAGGACCAGCCCAAGATACTCCAAAAG